AGAGAGAGAGAGAGAGAGAGAGAGAGAGAGAGAGAGAGAGAGAGAGAGAGAGAGAGAGGAGGGGTTTAGGAACTTTGCTTTGGAAATGTACAAGAGACACGTTTGCAAAATATAGCTCGTTCACCGAGCACAGAACGAAGCAAAACTGGTCGCCCAAGGAGGATCTTAATCATAATACCGGTCGGCGGCACCGGAGAGACCACGCACTACTTCCCGTCGTTTGAGTACACAGACATTGGTTGGGTTTCACGGGCCCGATGCGGGCGGCTTCGAAGCCGGCGCCGATGCCGACGCTGGGGGAGGAGGGGGGGGAGGCGGGGGAGACGGGACCCGGACTGTGTTCGCTGTACGGAACTCGACGCAGAAATCTGCTCTCCCATTCTGCAGCTCATTCACGTTGTTTGCAAATACTTGAGAAATGTTCAGTCTGACGTGTCGGATAAGGTAGTTATAAATCGTCTTCTCCTTGGGCATCGGCTGGAAAGCTTGAGAGCACAGTCTGTTTTCACACATGTAGAACTGATTGTTGCAATGGCTGTCCAGCTCCCCCGTCGCGTCGTTGATGAAGCTGCAATTACCGCTGTTCGCCACTGTGACAGGCCTGTTAGCGCTGCAGCAGAGACGCAAAGGATACCAAAAAAAAAACAGTGTCAACCATTAGTCGGTGAAAAAGGGGAAGGCGAGGTTTCTCTCTCTCTCTCTCTCTCTCTCTCTCTCTCTCTCTCTCGCACACACACAACCATTATCAACCATTAGTCGATGAAAAAGGGGAAGGCGAGGTTTCTCTCTCTCTCTACTAAAGTTCGTGCTTACTACCTTACGTGTTAGAAGGCTGTGCCCGCCGTCGATAAGATCCATCGGGGGCATTTGGTGTGTTACAGGCCTCCAGACTTCGTGGAGCCTTTTCGGTGCGAGTCGTGCTGCAGGTGGTGGTGATTTAAGCAATTCTCGTTTCTTGAAAAAGGAGATGTAACTCGCATTTTAATATTTCATGTGAATCTTGAGAAAAAAACACTCTTGGTTGGCGTTTCCTTCCACCGACCGATGGAAAGATCTTTTTTTTTTTTTTTTTTTTTTCCAGCGACCGATGGAAATATCTACCGAAAAAAAAAAAAAGATATAACCAATCCATTGATCCCACTATGGCACCGAAAGAACAAGACGAAGAATGACAAGCTATTGGCCCGCAGAAGAGTGACAAGCTATGGGACTCGCTCCTCTACTGTGAATTGTAATCCGAGCTTTAGGGCCTCAGGCCCCGCCACGCACGCACGGCACGCACGGCACGCACGGCATCGAACCAGCACCCTCAGCCACAGGAACCAAGTCTCTAAACCACTACTAACCAAATGTGCAAAAAAGAGAATAATGAGAACGAATCTCACGCTAGAACATGGGTAGATACACCCCCGCATTTTTTTTATTTTTTTTTTCCCCTCATGAAGGACACATTCATTACACAATGTAATACACAGCCCCCGCATTTTGTCTCTTATCCATTTGGCCAGTAGTCGAGCGAAGCCCTATTCCTGAGGGCTTCCGCACACTCGCTTCCGCGCACACTGGCGTCCGCGCACACTGGATTCCGCGCACACTGGATTCCGCACACACTGGATTCCGCACACACTGGATTCCGCACACACTGGATTCCGCACACTTCAAACAATCAAATGCATTTACTCATCAATCATATACACCTGCTAAAAACAAAAAGGGGGAGAAAAAGGGGCCCAAAACAGGGGGGGAAAGGGGACAAAAAGAAAACGAAAAAAGAAAAAAAGACACGGACAATGTCATAGTAGTGGTAGGTAGGTAGTGTGAGGTGAAATTGAGAGAAAAAAAAAAATACAAGATGAAAAAAAAAAAAAAAAAGAGAGAAGAACATACCTTTTAAAATTAAAAAAAAAAAATCTAGCTGAGGACGGAAACGTGGCTGATGGACCTTTCACCGAGCGATCCACGCATCGATCCACGGAGAGAACAAATAAAAAAGGGGGTAAAAAACAATTAAAAAAAGAAAATTAAAAAAAATCAACAAACAAATAGTCTACTTTACACAAACCAATCGATGGATCGATCCCCGGATCAATCGATGGATCCACGGATCTCTGCTTAAAACACGTCCAGATTCAGTATATTCATCCAACCCTCTTTGCTGGTGTGACCTCGCCCCAGATGATTGATCGACGGATCGATTCCCGGACGGATCTACGGTTCAGTCGTCTTCACTCAAATGCAACAAATATGGGGAAAAAAAAAACGAGACACAGGAAGATGTACTCACGCTGGGATTTGCGGTCAGGTTCATCACCAAACACCACCTCGTAGACATAGTATGAGAATGCCCGATGAAAAGAGAGGGGGGGAGGAAACCGTGGGCTGAGCACAATGGCAGCTTATAACAATTTTTTGAGGGCCTTCGTTCCGTCGAAGGGGGGGGCACTAATTGAAAAAAAAGAGTAGAAAAAAATGGTAGATATGACAAACTACGCTCTTAAAAAATTAGTGACAAAATCAGAGATAAATGTCTAGCATATATTGATAATTAGCAGATGAAGGACCCGTTAAAAAAAAAAAAAAAAAAAAAAAAAAAAAAAAAAAAAAAAAAAAAAAAAAAGTGATGCTTGATCAGCCGTACGTGTAACGAAGTTGTACGGAAAAGAACGGAAACGTGGGTGAGGGCAAGACCCGTTGACGCACGTCCTCTCGACTGAATGTAGACAAAAAACGGGTGTAGATACACCAAGCGAAAGTCCCGAGTCTGCACGAAGAGTTTAAATAAACCTGAATTCAAACTCGCCGTCGGCACATACCGACTGTATCTCACCGCACATTTCGGCGATATACACGCAGCAAGTTCCTTTACACCGAAGGGATTATTAGTGAGTTCGGACGAAAAAATCCGACAACCCAAAAAACAGAAAAAAGATCAGTCCAAACATATACCGACTGTATCTCGCCGCAAATTTCGGCGGACGGAATTGCGGGCAAATGAAGACAGATCCGGCCGAAAATGCTGTCAGATACATTCACGATTACAGTGCTAGTGTGATCACGCCCTCACACTGCACACTGCTCGAGTCACCACTAAAAAGCTCCCGGTCGTTCAAGATCTGCGGGAATACGTAAGACTCCGAAAGACATACTTATTACACGAAAAAAAAGACAAACAAAGAAAGAACGATTATCAAAAGTCGGTGACACTCCGCCGAAACAGTCTGTCACAGCCCCTCACTTGTTGTCCTCTTCTCCTCTATACATAAATATACATAAATATACAATATAGATAGATAGATATACATATATATATATATTATATATGCATACATTTATGTATATACAGATAGATATATATATCGTCACAAACAGAACTGCCCGGTAAACCGTAGGCAGAGAGAGAAGAGGACAACAAACGAGGGGCTGTGACAATCTATCTGTATATACATAAATGTATGCATATATATATATATATTGTATATGTATATATGCATATATGCATACATTTATGTATATACGTATCTATATGTAAACACATACATAAAGAACTGCCCGGTGAAGCGTAGTATGCATTAAGGGAGAAAACGAAAAGGAACAGGGGGAGAGGGGGTGACAGACCGACTGGTACGTCAGGAAGCCGGCGATGCACTCAGGGTTTCTGCTCATATCAGCACCCCTAGTAGCCTGGAAGGTGAAAAAAAAAAAAAAAAAAAAAGGAAGCCGGTGATGCGCAGAGGGGTTCCGAAAGATTGGCAGTCTGCTGACTGCCTGCCACGTGTCCATGTGATGGGATGATCAAGGCGGCGGCCACTTCATTGACAGCTGGCATTGATCACCGACAAAGAGCCTCATTCGACACCACTTGACAATACACTAAGTTTCAAGCGCACACTAAACGAGAAATTATGATTAATGTACACTAGAAACTCCATGATTTATGGTTCCATGTACACTAGAAAGAACCCTTGAACAGCCTGCGCAATTGAAACTGAACTCCACGGCTTGCTGACCAATCAATCCTGGACGAGGATCGCCTGCAGGAAAACAAACAAACAAACAAAAAAAAAAAAAAAAAAACACTGGCGGTAACCGCTGGCACAGGGAGGAGGTACCTTGAGTTTCCAGGTGCGATTTGGCCCCAGCGTCAGTAGGCACACTAGAGAGCAGGA